CCGCGGTTGGAGAGGCCGTGACGACGACCACGACGACGACGACGACGAGACATCGATGACGCGGATTTCATGGGGCAACGAACAAATTTCGTGGACGATTCAAGAAACGGTGTTAACAAACGGCACGATGGAATCTGATTATCACCAACCGAAACGACATCGATCTATTTTCGACCGCGTTCCTCGACGTCTACAGGACGTTTGAGTATATGTGTTGTTACGAGGACGTGTATTATTACTGAATCGGAGAGAGCGACATTGGTGGGGAGAGGTTTTTGTTTTGCTTTTCGAAGAATTGATACGTGTTACTTCGCGTTATTATTACGTCTCAATTGTTTATTGATATAATATATCATTGTATAGTTCTGAATTCCATATTTTGTTTTCGTCGAGGTTTTCGTAATTTGGAATAAGATATTCGAATGAAATAAATAAAATAAAATAATATTGGAATAAAATAATGCGAAGATAGGATGGTAAAGAGAAGTTATTTTAATTTTTTGAAGCTGTGTTTTAATAAGAACGTGTTTTTTATGAGTAATTTGTCTAGGTAGCAGGCTCGATGAGTAATACGTTTTGACCTGAAAAATGTTCTTTTATCTGTTAAATTTCTATTGTGTTAAGCAAAGTTTCAATAATATCCGTGATATTATTATCTAAAAATGAAAATTCTTCGATAAAAACTTACCAAATAATTAGTGCCTTTGTCCTATTTATGGTCCTAATATGTCCTAATTTATAAAAAAGAAATTAATGACAATCTAACTTTTTAATTAGAATAAGTAAAATAATTCCATTACAACGAAATTTGCCCATTATTGCAAAACTTTCCAAAAGACACTTTCGTGATCCTCAAAGTCGTTGATTTCACCAACAAAGAACGATTCCACCGTCGTTCCAAAAGATAGCAGCGATCTATTTTCGACCACTTCCTTCGCCACTAGAAGGACACGATTTTCTAACGAACGAAACTCGAACGAAGGCCTCGAACGAAGTTTCAAAATGTCGTGGTTTCCAGTCAGAAATCATCATTCCTGGAATTCATTTCGCACACATTTCGTAAAATAAAGGCCAAGGCGAAGAGTCAAAAGTTAAAAGAGGATTATTGACCGGTTTCGATTTCCGGAAACACTAAAAACAGAAATACTGACCTACCTGTTCGGATCTAGGATGCCTCTTACCGGTGGCTCGCCAATTTAAAAGTAATTTTCTCGAATCCCTCCGAAGAAAAAAGAATGGAAGCTCTTCCCACGGTTGGTCAGCTGGCCTGCGTCCAGAAGAAGCGACGATCCTCGTTCCGTTCGTCTCCCTTTATCATTTCTCCTTTCCTCCAACTGTGTTTTTTTACGAATTTCGATTTTTCTACCTGAGATCCATTCGTCGGGTCATCCGAGTCCCCACTTACTGGGTCCTTTACAGTTACGCGAGGAGATTCGAGGAGACAGATAAGACGAAGAAAAAGCTTTATTATTCTCTTCACGGGATGACGCTAGACCCTGATGCTTGGCCGATGTCGTGGACAGTTAGTTCTGTGGACAATTTTCCAAAATTAGTGGAAAATAATTTGAAATTGTTGCACGATGATTCGGTTAATAACAATATTACCGAATTATCATGACTCTTCCTCTTTCATTTTTAGATAATACGACGATAAATTATCAATCGATGATATTATTATCTAAAAATGAAAATTCTTCGATAAGAATTTACCAAATAATTAGTGTCTTTGTCCTATTTATGGTCTTAATATGTCCTAATTTAATAAATTTAATAATTTAATAATTTAATAAATCGATGAAAGTTTCGAGTAGATATCTCTCTTATTATTCTCTTCACGAGATGATACTAGACCCTGATGCTTGGCCGATGTCGTGGACAGTTAGTTCTGTGGACAATTTTCCAAATTAGTGGAAAATAATTTGAAATTGTTGCACGATGATTCGGTTAATAATAATATTACCGAATTGTATCATGACTCTTCCTCTTTCATTTTTAGATAATACGACGATAAATTATCAATCGATGATATTATTATCTAAAAATGAAAATTCTTCGATAAAAATTTACCAAATAATTAGTGCCTTTGTCCTATTTATAGTCTTAATTTAATAAATTTAATAATTTAATTATTTAATAAATCGATGAAAGTTTCGAGTAGATGATATCTCTCTTAAAAATTTTTCTAAAAATATATTCCAACTGAATGAAAGAAATATCATTTGAAACTTATTTCTTATAATTACGATAAATTTCTATGATACGATAAATTGATAAAATTTATTATCCGAATTTATCCGCACATTGTTATTAGTGCTGTTAAAAATAATAAGAAACTTTTCGTGCAAATATTTATCCTGTCTGATCTGACGAAACGCGCACATACCGTGAAACGCTTAGCATAATGTTCTACGGTTAATTTAAATTCATCAGCTCCCATAATTTGAACGTAGCGGGTTTCGATAAACACTCTATCGGTATATCTCCTTCCAGGCTAAATTTCAATTAGCTTTTAAACTATCAACCGTGCAGTATCATCACGTAACTCCTGTTACGATGAATTAAATGAATGTTCGTAAAATAAAATTGAAATCTTTCAACGAAATTTTTAATTTTAATCATTTGGAGATTAAAAGGGACGATCCTGCTCAATCCTGTTCAAAAATTGATAACGAGAATCAAAGGGTAGGTCGAGCAATTAGAGCGTCGTTTCGATGTCGGCAGAGATGCCAAGCAAAACGATTTCTCGCCTTGCGTTCTTATCGTGCCAACTACGACACATTGGCGTACCACTCTCCTGATCTAAATTTCGAGACGTCTTCTATCGGAGAGGAAATAAGATTTTTCCTGTTTTGTACTTTTCTAAATTCTCCATTAACTTGTCAACACATGTTTCCTTTTTAATTATTGTTCAATAAATCATAATTAGAAAAGAAAGGAATTCCAAGAATTTGCTTAATATCTTTCCTTATCCTTTTCTTTTTAGGTAAGATCAATAATGCTAGAAATGTTTTAAGAAATATGAAAAATAAGAAAGAAAAGATTATACGATCTCCTCAAATTTTCAAATTATATGGATTCTATATCACAAAGATTAGAAAATCTTTTTTAACTTTCAAATTCTATTCTATTTTCTATCGAAATAGTTATAATCGAATAAAAATAATTATGAAATTATCCATAATATCTATAATATGAATGCATAAAAAATTTCATAGATCCTCTAATCAAAACGAAACGTCTTCTTCCTCGATCTTCCAAAAGTTTCAAATTTCATAAGCCTATAGAATTAAATTAAATTTAAAAGTAAATTAAATTTCTAAAAGTTCGAATAAAACAAAATGAATTATGCAATCAAATTATATAACAAATCATCCTATCGTATTCCGTATTTCGAATCATCGAATCTCAAAACCATCCAAAAAAAATGCAATAATTAAAATGAAACAAAAGAAAATTGCAAAAACAAAAAACCAAAGAAAATAATAAATATATCTATTCATCACGCGCAGCTGAACACAGTCAATTTCCCCAAGATCGATCAGAATAAGTCACACGATCCTCTGAATCCTAGATCAACCAGTCTCCACATCGGGGAAAGAGAGAATCGAGCGTCACAGATCCGATCGTAAAAATCGATCGAAGGGATGAATGGCCGAAATTCGATCAAAGGACGAATCTGTTCGTGTCTAGGATCGGCTCTCTCTCACGAGAAATTTTCAAGAACACACGTGGTCCATCGCCCCCGGCCCGTACCCCTCCCTTTTTTCCTCTCCAGATCGCTTTTTATAAATTTCTCTCTCTCTCTCTCTCTTTCTCCCTCTCTCCATCTCCCTTTCTTTCTCTCTCTCTCCTTTTTTTTCTCCTT